CTGAGTAACCATTGAAATTCAGATTCCGAAGACAAGGAAAGGCTATAGGAAGTGCATCTGATCATTTCTTAGAATGTTTTCAAAATTGTTATTTTGCAGGTTACTTCAAAAATCGTGCAAGTTTATGCATGTCAGTTGATAATGTGTTGATCTGTATAACCATTATGCCAGGGAACATATTTTGGTCACTACACTCAAGAATAGATTTTGGTAGTACAAATAATTTAGAAAGTAATCATTATTATTAATGTCAAAAGTCTTAATTCTGAAAACTTTGGATAGTCAAATGTATAAATTGACAGTTTTATAATTTATGTCATAATATTAGAGAAATTCCACTGTTCTATGAATACATTTTACTTGCAAAAGTTAACAGATAAATAATTCACATTTACATAAACAATTTGTTAGTAAAATTAACAAATACTTTGATATTTTCATTATATTTTTTCTTCCCCCGAGCAAATTAGGAAATACAATATGGTGAATAAACAGAACTCATTTGTTTTGTTTTTTTTAGTAATGAATAGTGGTCTTTCAATTTCCTTATACTTCATTTCACTCATTTTAGAAGAAACAAAATGCTCAGAGGATTAAATTAGTATGGTAGATAATATAGTTATTAAAATATAAAGTCCCATGCAGTAGCAAAGATCATCATCTTTAACATGGTTTACTAAGCCAGATATATGGAAAATATTCTGAAAATGTTTTGCAAAATACTGTCATTTAGCAGCAACATTTCTAAATGTTGTATAAAAATTAAATATGATAAGTCTTTGTTAGAACATTAAAGAGAAGGTTTGGTGAAGTTCTTAATTTTAAGCACTGAATAAATCCTTACTTAACTTCTTTCCTATATAGGGTCCTGGATAGATGGTAGGGCTACAGAGACACAGAGTTGAGAATAAACAGTATTAAACACAGACATGCTTCCTTCATCAGGGAACTGACAGTCAGCAGGATGTCCTTTCAAATAGGCTAGGCTCTGTGTTCCGTTCTCTGTGTGGGAAGTCGTTGCCAGTCCTAAGGAAACACATGCAGCGATCGGAAAGCTCCTTTTACCGCTGTATTTCCGTGTGATAGAAGGTCTAAGGGGAGCCTGCCCAGGCTTTGGAGCTGTAAAGCCTGATTTCCAGCTCTGAATCTACTTAGCCTGTGACTTCTGGGAAATGAATTAAGCTCTTTGAGACTGCTACTTCACATATGAGATGTTTATAACCAAATGGCACAGTTGATACGGAGATCATCTATTTAAGGAAACAGATCTAGAGCAAGCTCTTAAATACTCTATGAATCTTTCTCTTTAATAATTAGAAACTTGTATTCATGAACAAATAGGCTTTGAATAGCGTGGGTTTTGTTTTCAACCCTTAAAACATAAAATAACCAGTATTAATTTCTCATATGTGTTCCATCTTTTTCAGTATTTCAGATGAATGCAAAAGTTGAATTTTATAACAGCATGTTATAGGCTCTTTTCTGAAAAAGTAAATTTATGTCATGAAATGCTCGCTGAGGGTGGGTGTGGAGGAAGCTGAGGAGGAGAAAACACAGCAGGGAGATAAAAACTTTCCACAGTAAAGAGTGTTAGTTATCAACAGAGTGACACGAGGGATGCATTTTATACATCTTGGTACTAACTGCTCCTTCTTTCGTTGTCCTCCGCCGCAGTCTCCAGCAATACCTGTTTCAGCAGCTAACGACAGAATGTAATTGATTTAGAATGAATCCCAGCTAAGAAGTACATTCAAAGTTCCTTGAGTTACTAGTGGTGTATGATTTCACTATGCACTCAATGAAGGAGTTAGGCTAAAGGATGTTTAAAATCCCTTTGGATTCCAACATACCTTCCTTGAAATTCAACTCTGCTGGCTTATTGTGTTTAGCAGCATGTTAGTCTTATAGAATAAGGCATGAAGATGCCTTTTGAATTTTAAAAACCTTAGACACTTTCAAAGAGAAGGTCCTAAAACTGAAATAAGCACATAGCAGAGATTAAAATAAATAATTTAAATATTTGAATGAAGGTAATTATAATGTGTAATTAGTGATGTCATGTATGGCCCTCTTATTTACAAGGGGCAGTTTGAATATACTTAATCATACTATAACCCCCCTTTTTTGCTGTAAATTTGATTTAAGGTTAAAATAATCTAAATCATATTGATACTTTGCTTCACCAGCGAATTGCTTCACAGTTTCTCTAGTAAAATACATCTTGGACATTGCTTAGATTAGGAATTTTAGTGGATTGATGGTAAGAAACACATTAGATCGTGATAGATACTTGTGCACATGCACGCTTACCTTGCTGTTGTAATATGCCACTTAGCTGTCTCCTGGGATTTTATACTACTGATTTCTAGAGAATCGATGATCTGAAATGAAGTTTTTTCTAATAAATGGAATTTTAATAGCTAATATTTCCAATGAAGTTAAGCCCATCCTGTTTGCATCAGGAGTAAATTGTGGGCCAATTAGCTTTTTCTTTATCATTAAATTTTGGGGATGAAGTGTTTACGGCAGAGGGATTGGCAGTAATAGAGGAGCTAATTTGATATGACTTTCACCAGTAAATATATTCTGTAACTCAAAATTGTGATGATTCCTCTTAGAGCAAATCTCCTTTCAATGCTTACATCCAAACGGTCAGTTTACATTTGAAAACCAAGCTCAGTCCACTTGAAGGCTTGTTACTCTGCACTTAGCGCCCATTGGTAAGCACTACCAAGAGCTGGCAGGCTTCTTCCCGCAGGCACACCTACCCACTCTTCACAGGCTGGCCATGCCCAGGCTGCGGCTGCTGACGACGTGGAACCAGAGGCCCGTATAAAAATACGGGCCTCACCAGAGCATGCAAATCACTGTTTTGGAGGCTACAAATTTGTACAAGAAGTTGAACCAAGATATACATGTTAGTAGGAGGTTGAACTTACTTGGTGAAACTTACATATGTATATGTATAATTTATATGATGGATGTGTGTGTATGCATTCTCATTTCTGAAACTGAAAAAATACGTTTTAGAACATGGTCAAGATGTATGTACCAAAAGCATAGACATGGGGCTAATACTAGACGCTGTTATTTTCAGAGAAGAAATAGAATTAGTGAGAAATAAGGGAGATATTTAATTTACATATCCCTATAGTGGAGCAGGCAAAGATCAGCTTTACCTGTGTTTCAGTTTTGAATGGAAAGGAAGGGCCATAAAGCCTTCCCATCGCCTCCTGAAAGCGCCCTGCTTCATCACCCTTAGGGACAGACTGTTCTCCCAGGAGGGAGGGAAAGGAACATTTTCACTGGCCCAGCTCGTGATTTACATACTGAGCGCAAATAAGTGAATGAAGTGGGGGATGGGGCCGGGAGAAGCAGTGACTCTCCTTTTCAACCACAGAAAATAAGATTACTTACCAAGAGCACTTTTAATCCAGGGTGAATGTTTGATCCTTCTATCATTCGCCGCCTCAGCCTGTGCAAGAAATCAATTTCCACCCAACCTTTCCGAGAGAGAGAGAGAGAGAGAGAGAGAGACAGAGAGAGAGAGAGAGAGAGGAAGAATATGAATATGAATGAGAATATGAATATACAGGGGAACACTAACGCTGGCTCAGGATCCAGAGGAAGCTGGAGCAGAGAGGGCAGAAGGCTCCCACAGCGCCCTTTACCCCCTCGTGGCTCGGGCTGAGCCCAGGGAGGGAGAGATGTCCCCCAGGGAAGGCCCGGGATGGCCAGGGGATTTTACAGCCCAGAATAGAAACCTACCGCAGGAGAATCTCCAGCCCCTCGGTCGCACTAACCATTTCCCAGAGGAGGTGGGTTTCAAAGAGGAAAGGGAAGTTCCCGAATTGAGAGACAGAAACCTGGGATTTGGTCTTGGGGGAGGACCGTGACAGTGGAGAGGAAAGGGGAGGAGGAGCCCAAATCTTACCTGATCGGTCAGGCAAGCGTCTGTGCGGTGGCAGGATCCAGGAATGGCCAAGGAAGGCGCCCTGCAGCAGAGCCTTCCCTAGCGCCCTCGGCACCTGCGCAAGAATCAGGGCGCGCGGGGTCCCCCGGCCCGCCACTGCTCTCCAGGGACGGTCTCCGGGGCCTCCAAAGCCCCAGCTCTCGAAGCCGGGCAGCAGAAGCCGAGGTTGCCGACAACAGTCGGTCGCCTGAGTCTCGGGCAGCAGATTCGCAGGGCAGTCAGGACCCGGGAGAGCTCCCGGGAGAGCTCCCGCAGCCACTGCAGCTTGTAACCGTAGCGCCTGGTCCCCTGGCCGGAGCCTCGGGCGCAGCGCCTCCCCCACCCCCAACCCCCACCCCCGCATCTTCAGCCCTGCCATCGCCTCTCGTCCCCCAAATGCTGATGATTTGATCACCCAAAGTGACCACAGCTGTTCATGTGGGCGGCGGGGGAGGGCTGGTGGTGCCGGGCTTCCTAACTACGCCTCCCGAGGTCTCTGGAGCTGGAGGGTTCAAGGGAAACCCTAGTGAGAGGCGCAGATGGAGCACCATTGATCCCCGATAGTGGTGTCCCCAGCGCAGGTAACCCTCGGGGCGCTGAGAGCGGGGATCGGAGCGCCGCTTCTGAGCCGGTGGCCTCGAGAATTCGCATTGGACGCTTCCCAGCAGCTCCAGTCCTTCCTGCCGCCACCGCCGGTCCATCGGAGGAAAGCAGCCGCGCGTCCCGCGGCCCCGCTCCCCGCCCCGGCGCGGCCTTCCGCTCAGCTGCAGCTCTATCTGCGCTCCACCTTCTGTCCTCTGGGGTTGCAGGGCTTCTCGTGGTCCGTCCCCCTCCCCCCTCCCCGTCCGTCAATTTGCATTTCGTCCACCTAAGGATCGTTACACATAAGCCCCCTTCTCCCCCCCCCCGCCCCCCCAATAAAAGGCGCCTCTTCAACATTTTGCGTTCCGTCCTTGGGGGTTCTTGGCACTCGGTGTGGCTGGTTTTCACTTGGTTACATGCCACCAGGAGCTGCTCACTATTTCAAAGTTCCGCCACCCTGCAGCTCACCACTTTCCCTTGATTTGGGAGATCATGGAGTCTCTGTTTGAATTCTGGATGTATTTTTTCTCTCTGTCATCTTGCTTCCCGAAATTTTTTCTGGTAAGTTATCCTCTTTACACGTTATTAGGAACTTATTGCTGCTGCTGTTTTTAATAAGCTATGCTTGCTTAACAAGTGCTACTTTTTTTTACATTTCTGTGACACTAAAAACTCAGATCTATGTGACCGTGTCTAATTAGTATGTTGCAGTTGCACTGAGAAACAGCCCAAGTAACGATTCACCTTGTCGTCTTCTACATCCTGTGTTTATGTCTGTTGTTTATATTACAGGCCATAGGAAAGAGTACTTCTCCCTTCCCCTCCCATTAATGCTTCCTGGCACAGGCTCCTGTACCATTTGAAAGGTCAAAATTTTATGCTTATCCAAGAGTGAGCTTAAAAGACACCTTCTGACAATCCCAGGGTCTGGGAAAAGCTTGCTCTCTGGTCATTAGAAGGTTGTTCTGGTCAGTGTGGGTCATTGCAAGCAATTAGGTGACTGAGGGAGGGCTTGTGTAAAGTGCGTTTTTATGGGTTTAGCAGAACAGTAAGCACCGAAAGCCACTGTATGGTAAGAAGTGTGTTTTCAGTGCACCATTTTTTTTTTCCTTATAACATCCCACATCACACACACAAACATGTTATTTTGGGCACTGCACTTCAATTCAGGCCTCGCATCTGGGAGCACATTTCTGATTTTGTGAATTTAGCTGGTGAACAGTTAATTGGACACAGTACTCACATCAGAGGGGAAGAACTATCTGAAGAAATCATTGATTATCTTGGTTCTAATAGATTGAAATTCAGGGACAGACTCTATCTGAAAAATGTAATTGCCTAACTCCACACATGTTCAACCCCCAGACTCAATTTTAATAAGTATGTTAATATTTCAGTCTTTTTTGCTTTTATGAACATTTTTTGTGGGCCTGACAGTTACAATGATCCCTTACCCTTTATGTATAGGGTGTTGGGAAACATTTAAAATATTAGCTTTTACTTCACATAATGATAAAGACATCGTATTTGTGAAAGGCCAAGCCTGCATGTATAAGTAATACCGAGGTTTAAGGATTTTTCTCTGAGAACACCCCCTCCCCACCCGGCCAGTAAGAACAAGTTTCTGGTTTCTGCAACATTTCTTCTCTTTGTTGGGATAGATGGAGATGAGAACCTATTGTTTAAGCTTTTTTTTTCTTTCCTTCTTACTCTTTCTTCGTGTGTGTGTGTGTGTGTGTGTGTGTGTGTGTGTGTGTGTTTCTGGGAAAGAACTATTCCTGTCGTCATTGATGGCTGACGCGACAACCCAAGTAATGTTTTTTAAATTCAGAAACCCTTTTAGCTTCCAGACCTAAGTGCTCCCTTTGCAGCCTCAGCCCATCCCCCAGTCTCCGATCGAGGGCTTTCCCCCAGGCTCCCACCGAGAGCACGGAGCTGAGACCCCTGCGCCCCGCCTGGCGCCCCTCACCCGGCACTAGTTTCTACCTAGTCTCCTTCCCTGCCCGGTTGTCCGTCCTGACAAGTGCCGTCGGCGGCCCTGACTTCGGTTGTAGAAACCGGGGCTAAGCGTAGTTCCCCGTTCAAACCTTCCCTTTGAGCGCCACTGCCGTTGCGCAGGGGTGGAGGGAGGGGGCACCAACTTTCGGTGCAGCCAGATCTCCTCCTCTCCAGCCAGTCGTCTCCAGCGAGGCTCGGGCGTGCGGTGTTTGGGTAAGTGCGTTTTGCTGGATTACGACCTGCCTCTCAGGCTTGGGGAGGGAACATGCCCATCTGAGAGGCTCCCGTGGCCGAAGACGTTTCAACCCGAGGACTAGCAACAGGCGAGTGTGCCTGGGGGTTGGCCGCAGCTCTTGGCAACGCCTAAGCCACCTGGGCGCAGGGGGAGCAGAGGTCCTGGTGCCTGGTTCACTGGCTGGCCCCGGGCTTGGTGCTGGGTGTGGGAGTGACTCGCGTGGGTGGGGACCATGCCCCTTGCTCGACCTGCTGGGCTGGTGCAGGCTCTCCTCTCAGCCCTGCGGGGAAGGCTGCCTGCCGCGGGCTTGTGCAGCCCCTGAGCGCAGGGCGCGCCAGGGGGTCCATCCCTGCCGGATGCTCCCTTTCCAGTCCTCCTCCGGCCACAGCGGAGCCAAACCTTCTAGCCTTGCCCGAGGACAGACCTGGGAGCGGGGGCATCGCTAATCAAAGCCCTTCTGCGTTTGCGTTAATTAATTAATTATCTGTTAATGAGCTGTCCCTAAGACTAATTCATGAGGGCTCTTGCGGCCGCCTGCTCCGTAAACCGAACCGCCTGGCCCGCCGGCGGAGGGTGGCTACCTGACCCCGGCCCTGGGCTGGGGCGGTGCTGGCCGCCCCCGTCCCCGCTCCCACTGGCAGGAGCCTGGAGAGCTGTGCGGTGGGGAGTTGATCTCAACTTGGAGCCGCAGCTTGGACTCGAAGGTTGGAGTTCAGCGCCAGGAGTGAGGGTTGGGAGGCATTGAGCTCCCGTGGCAGCCACTTCCCAGCGGAGCTTTCATTTTTCTGTCCCCCTCTCCTGGCGGCGAGGGGGAGGCAAGCGCATCTGGGACTGGAGCCCTATCCTCCGCGTCCACCCGGGAGGGGGTGGTGCCTTCTGGCTGCCGGCTCCTGCTGGTGCGGCAGCCAAGCGGGGGCTCCGGTTTCCGGCTCTGATGGCTGCTCTCCTAGTCCCAGGAGTTGACCCAGAGAGCATTTTCCTTGGCGCCAGGTCCGGAACGTGGTCAGCCCTTTAGGGCACGGACCTCCTTCCAGCGGGAACGGCTGGGCAAGGCTGGAGAGGCTCTGGGTCCAGCGAGGAGATGCGGTGTCCAGCTGCGTGAGCGACCAGCCCCAGGCTTGCAGAGAGGAGGAGGTGGCGAGGGGTGCTCCCTAGCCCTTCGGTTGCTTACAAACACTCCAGCCGTTCAAATGTATGGCAGCGAAGAAAAAAGCGCCAGGGTATAAAGCTGTCACGGCAGCTCGGGAGGCAGATGATTCAGGGCTGCGGGACTTTCTCTCTGAGGTGCCTTTTAGGTGTGTTTCTCAGCCTGCAGCGAAGCAGGTAAGGGCTGAATGTCTACATTTTATTGACAATCGCATACCCTGTGTTTGACCCATCCGGCGATAATTTTTCTCTGTTTCAAGCGATGGAGTATGTGTATTTTCAGATGGTTCTGCTGTGATGCATAACTTCTTAATATTCACATTCATGAACGTTTTTAACTCCATTGACATGTTTAACATGCATGCAATTCATTTAAATGTTAACTTGCCTTGATTTAAATGTTTAGCAGTGTTACAAAAATCATAAACTGGGTCAAGGTGTGAGCAAAAAATGGGGAGGGGGTAGAGAGTTAGAGGGAGGGATGCATAGCCCCAACGAAGTATGTAAGATGATGATATTACCAGCAATGCCTTCAAACATGCTTGCTGTTAAGGTCACAGACCTTAATATATGAAGGACACTTAGAGAACTATTAAGGGCATCTTGAACTAGCAATGTAATTCTGACTACTTCATAGGAATGGATATATATATATATATATATATATATTTATATATTTAATTTAAAAAATCCTTGGAGTGGAATTGACTGGGTTGTCAAATGAGAAGAGTTTGCCTGAAGGCAATCTCCTATATGACTCCAGTGTGGAAGGCTTTGGGGTTAGGAAACCATTTGGAAACTGGAAAATGAAATCTGAACAAATGTAAAAACTAATGGCAAATCTCCCATAAAGAGCTTTCTTAAATTACAAGTTTTGTAGATTTATAATTTTAGCAGCCAGTAGATATCTTCCTTTATCAGACTTAATGAAAATGTCAAGTAAAATGACAAAACAAATTTTGAATGTTTTAATAAGTTTTGTTGTTATTATGGATGTTGTTTTGTTATGCTGTGTTTTCACGTTGAAGGATTATGGAGTCCCCACACACTAAAGCCAAAAATATTAATAAGGCACTATCCTAAAGCTATTTCTTTTATTTCTAACACTTTCTCTTCTCTAAGAAATTATATTCCTTAAGATTTTCTCTGGAAATATTTTTAGCACTTACATTTATTGACATGGATGCCTGATCAATAATTTTTCTGCTTGTAAGGCTCACTGATAACATCTTGAGGAAATATAAAAGATAATTACAACTTTGGGTCATAAAATTGCAAAGTTTTAGTGCTTTTTTTTTCAGTTTGATTCAAGAGGTAGTCTTTACTTCCCTGTAGAAAGTAATTTATCAATGGAGTCCAATTCCTCAAATCTTTTGCATTTTACCCTCTAGGGTTTTATTACGTGAACTTGACCATTGTGTATGAGTGGGTGTGTAGTATATATCTCCTTTTTGGGGTGGGTGGAGAATGTATTTATTTTAAGTCGACATTGCTTTAATAATGTCTTCCATATGAAATAGGCATGATGCCATTTATGATTGATTTCATTTATTAAATAACGTGATTCCAGCCTCCGATGAGATACTTTCTTTTAATAAAGTCAACATTATAATGGCAATGTACATTTTTATTACAGTACATCTTGATTTTTCATACAAAAGGATTGCTATAGTTATTATAGTTAAGTAAGTCAAACCCCAAGTTAGAAGAAACCATTGGAACTCTATAAAAGTATGTGTGTATGCACACATGTGTGTATTATATACACACGTGAACATATAAAATTAGCCTTATCCCTAGATTTGTGTGTTCTTTCAAAAAAATGGAATTTCTTTTCAGAATATTGCCTTGTGTGTTTCTCTCTGCAAATACAAAGAACTCTACTTGTAGGACTTTAAAACTTTATGTCTTGTTATGAAACTTGGCTTCAGTTTCCTGTGTTTCCTATTATTTTGGTTTTTAAATATAATCTGTAGAATGATCAGTCATTGATTAGAATAAGTTTCTATAATTTTAGTAATTTAGAGAATTGGTTATTAGTATTAAAAGTTCAGACGCAGAAATATAACACCAGTCTGTGCAAGTTTAGCACAATATTATCTTTTATTTAAATACATCACAAAGGAATTTGGATATGATTATGGCTTTTGATTAATGAGGTACTCTTTTAAGATTGTTACCG